TGCCAAACAACCCCTTTCCCTTTCTGGCCTGCTCCCCGGGATGCAAAGCTTCTCCTGTTTAGATCCCTGGAGTCGGCAGGCATGTCTGATGGATGAGCGAACTGGTGCTCAGAGAGGCTGAGGGACTTGCCCAAGGTCCCCAAGCCTGAGCGAGGACCCAGCCCCACACCCCAGGGGATCGAGGCCCCTCCTAATAATGCAGGTGATGTCTCCTGCCCAGATGCCCACCCTGATCCTGAGAGTCCACCTCAGTCCCTCCCACTGCTGCTCGGCTGGACTCTCAGAGAAAGCAAAGACCTGGGTTCACTCCCACGCATACGGGATGCATGGGGACTGCAGGAGCTGCTCCCCTGCATTGGTCCTTTCCTCTCCTTGAGGCTCACCCTGTGCCTGGCTCTGGGCCCTCCGTGTTGCCATGCAGCCATCACGCAACCCCCATATTTGTCCCACCAAGATGGGCTCCAGTTACTGCCTCCCAAAGGCAGCGGCTTGCCACACCCTGTTTGAGCAGAGTCGGGTGGGGAGTGATGATCAGAGCATATTCCTCACCCTAGAGAAAGGGACCCTCATGGGCCCCAGAATAGTCCACGACCAGAGAGACCCAAGAGCCCAACTGCTGATCCCAACCTGGAGCCAGGGACCCATCCTCTGCTCTGGGTCACAGAGGCGTCGGCCGCGGGCTCCTGCCCTCCACAAGCTCCTGCATACCAGGCACCATTCTGGGCATCAGGGAAAAGGCAGAAGAGAGTCAAGGTTGGCAGGCAAGGTCAAGGCAGAGCCTGGGCTGAGCATGAGCAACAAGGAGGAAATGGCCACCCCTGAGTCCTGGACTGAGGGTCCCTAGGAAGTGCCCACAAACATCCTGGGGAGAAGGAGAAGGAGCAGGGAGGAGGATAGAGGTTCTGCCTCTGGGGCCTGGCCAGCTTGGGCCTGCCATGGCCTCAGAAGGCTTTACGTGGATGGAGCTCAGAACACCACAAGTGGTTTGCACCCCTATGCTCGAGTGTTCAGGCAACCTGGCTGGTTTCCTCCTGAGGGCAGGAATTCTGTCTCTCTCAGTCACTCCTCCGTCTCTGTGCCTGGCACACAGTGAACACTTGAGGAACAGGCCAGGGCATCTTCATGATTCACCAGTGGGGCTGGGGAGACCACTGCACGTCAGAGCAGACCCTGCTGGGATTCGGGCGTAGCAGTCACAGAGGTCCTCTTCTGTGTGCCAGGCACAAAGACCAGGGTCGTAGGAAGATTCCTCTGTGGAGAGAAGAAATTCGCCCACAAAACACAGAAAAAAGCCCAGTTCAAGATGAAGCTGCTCTGTATGGTCAAAACAATATTAAGGCTGCACATGGTGGCTCAGGCCTGTGATCCCAGAACTTCAGGAGGCCAAGGCGGGAGGATTGCTTGAGGCCAAGAGTTTGAGACCAGCCTAGGCAACAGGACAAGACCCTAACTCTACAAAAAAAAAAATGTTTAATTAGCCAGGTGTGGCGTTGCACACCCATGATCCCAGCTACTGCAGAGGCTGAGGCAGGAGGATCACTTAAGCCCGAGAGGTCAAGGTTTAAGTGAGCCATGGTTGCACCACTGCACTCCAGCCTGGGTGACAGGGCCAGTCCCTGTCTCCAAAAATAAAGAACAAATAAACATTACTAACAATCCCTGGCATTTACCGACCACATATCCCACGACACGCAGCAGGCCCCACGCTGTACCTGAGTTACCCCGCTGACTCCTCCATCCCCTCGGGTCAGTCACCATGAGCACACCTATTTTGCAGATGAGGAAACAGAGGCTCAGGTAGGTGAGGGGACTGGCCAGTCCCACAACCAGGCACACAAGGATGCCAGCAGCCTCACCAGCAGGTCGGAAGAGAGTGGGCCAGACCTCAAAGAAACTGGGCCGTCTGCAATGCTGACCGCCACCGTCTAAGTCTTGGCTGCAGGGTGACCCCACCCACCTCTCCCTTAGCCTGTTGCTGGTGGAAGGCTGAGGATCGGGTTAGGGCTGGAGTCATGCAGAATCCCGGCATGTCCAGTGAGGACCACATTCCTGGAGCCTTTAGAACATTCCTTCTTCTGCACATACACAGACATCACAGACAGAGCCAGAGTCACCCACCGAGGACACTGCCCAGTGCAGTGACATGGACCTGTGCCTCCCCTGTGGGCCTCATGGACACTGTGGCCAGCTGGGACCCCCAGCATACACCAGATCTGTGGTCTTCAATCCGGGCTCCCCGGGACCAAATCTGCACCCCGAACACGTGTCAAGGATGCAAATTCCTGGGCCCCAGCCAGACCTAAAGAATTGGAAATCTGGGAGGGCAGCCCAGGCACCTTCGTGTGTGTTAATCAACCAGGAGATGCTGACATTTGAGAGTCCTTCCCGGGGAGCTCCTCTTGACCCCATACACAGAATCCCCCAGAACAAAGAGCAGATGGCTCCACTCCCCATCAGAAGGAAGCCCATCTGGGGGCCGGAGAACAAGCAGGAGGCTGTCTCTGCTTGTCCTGTTGGGAGACTTTTCATTCTGTGGACCTACCAAAGGCCAACACATGGGGAGAACACAGCTGTGAGTGCCACACACAAGGGCCTGCATTGAGGGAGCTGACGTCAGCCTGGGAGGCAGACAGGAGGCCAATGAACCCACCACCACCTCCAGCAGCCCACCCCTAATAAGGCCTTCTACAGAGGAAAAGTACCCAGGCCAACTCTCTCCCTGCCCAAAACTGTTCCACGTCTCCAAAGACCTTTAAAAATAGCCCAGCCCAGCACCACAAGGGCCAGCTCCTAACAAAGCTTTGTTGACTCAACTTCTCTCAAAGTTGACAGGTCTGCCTGGAAGAGGGGGCCGGGCAGGATGATGACCCCAGGCCCTTCTCATTTAGAATCCACCATGGTGGGTTTCTAGCAAAAGTCAGAAACATACACCCAGAAGAGCTTTTTTTTTTTTGAGACAGAGTTTTGCTCTCGGCCCAGGCTGGAGGGCAATGGCACAATCTTGGCTTACTGCAACCTCCACCTCCAGGTTCAATTGATTCTCCTGCCTCAGCCTCCCAAGCAGCTCATACCCAACTAATTTTGTATTTTTAGTAGAGACGGGGGTTTCTCCATGTTGGTCAGGCTGGTCTCAAACTTTCGACCTCAGGTGATCCTCCTGCCTCAGCCTTCCAACCTGCTGAGATTACAGGCATGAGCCACCTCTCCTGGCCCAGAAGAGTCACTCACTAGCCTTGAAGCAGGACAGACCAGAATTTGAGTTCTGACACTGCCTAGTCACTACCTGCTGGATCGCAGGCATGCCACTTTGTCCCTCTGAGCCTTAGTTTCCCCATCTGTAAATGGAGATCGTAGCAGCATACAGCCTGGTAAAGCTGTTGTGGTGGAGTCGAAGTGCTAACGATGCCAAGAGCTTGGCACGTGACGTGCTCAATGAGCAGGAAACCTAGCTTCACTCCCCTGCCCCACCATGATGGAAGCATCCCATGCAGCCCATGCCCACCACTCCCGATGAAGCCCACTGAGTCCTCAGCCTCCCCCAGCACAGGGACCCAGGAATTCCCACCTGCTGGCAGCTGTGGGCCTCATCTGGACTTAGCTTGAAGGAGGACCCAGCGAAGCTCACACAACAGCAATCAGATCGGAATGGGCCACCCACCCACCCACCTTGGAGAGAGGGTGAGAGCAGGCCCTGGGCCAGGGGGCTTCACCCCTTCCAGGAGCAGCTCCTGGGATGTGAGCTGCGAGCTGCAGGATTCCACAGGAGAAGGGCCCGCACCTCGCAGCTGACTGGCACCCGCTCAGGAAAGCCCCCTTTGTTCCATCACGTTGGGTGAGGGGCATGGAGCTGAAGCGTGGGCTTGGACAGAGCTGCAAACGTGCCCAGAAGACCGATGGAGTGGGGGAAAGCGGGGAGCAGAGGTTGTGCAATGCACCACCAGGAGCTGCCTCCCCAGCCTCCATCAACACAAGGGGCTGACAGTCAAGCTGCTGCCTCCAGGGGTGGTGCAGAGGGCCTGGGCCCACGCAGCTGCCCGGGGATGGGTTTCGAATTCCAACCCAAGCCCAGAGCCACTGTCCACTTCCGAGTCAAACACCTTGGCGGAGGTCCTTCTGGACCCCGATGCCTTCCCTCTCGCCATCCCCAAAGACAGGGTGGTCTGGACCCAGTGCCATTAACCCCTAGCATGCTGGCGCACCTCCGGAGAGGCTGCGGGAAGGGGAAAGCCTGGTATGGAGAAATTGGGGCTGCAAGGGGACTGCAGAGTTGTGAAGTTGAGCAAGTGGAAGGAGACACACTGAGACTGATCTGGAGACGTCCATAAAGGACAGGCCCTCCTCCTCGGGGCTGCCCCGAACAGCTAATGACCACACGCAGCCCACCCAGATAGCCCCGGCTGTATAAACCCATTTCCCTGTCTGGCAAACAGAGATGCGGCCACGGGAGAACCCAGCCTGTAAGTGCTGCAACCCAGAGGTGCCGGGGACCCTTCGCCGCCGTCACTGCGCGACGAGCTCTGTGCCAAGTCTCGCCACCCACCCCTCCACACACGATCGGGCCAGGGAGGGGGCGACAGGCCAATCTCTCGGTGGCGGCATCGTGATGCATGAATCACCAGCCCTGCGTGCGCCTGCCAGTCGGCTCCGCGCACCCCGGCGCCCCTCCCGGGACCACCGCCCCGCCCTCGCACGCCCCCTGCCCGTCGGGACAGCAGTGCGGAGAGGGGGCTGCAGGAGGGCTGGGGCTGCCCCTCCGGACTTAGGGGTGGCGCCGCGAACGCCACCCGCGCGCACTCACTCCCCGGCTGGGGGTGCCAGAACAATGGGGCCGGGCGGGGGATAGGGGCGCGACCGGGGAGCCACTGAGGGGTCCGCGGCGGAGTCCGGGCGGGGAGGGCGGAGGGGAGGCGGCGGCGCGGAGCGGGTAGCGCGCGGGTCCCGGGGCGGGGGCGGCGGAGGTGGGGGCGACCGGGGCGCAGGCGGGGGCCGGGCGCACTCACAGTAGGTCTTCCTGGTCAGCTCCTCCACAACTTCGGGCTTCAACTTGCTGTTGGATTTCCCATCCTCGGCGGCCGCGGCCCCCGCCCCCCGGGCCGGACCCGGTCGGGGCTCCCAGCGGGAGCGGCTGGGCCGGGGCCGCGCCTTTGTCTGCGGCGCCCGCGCTGCGCTGCGCGGCTGTCGGCGCCGGGGCGCCCGGGGCGTGGGGCGGCCGCTGGGCAGGCCCGGGCGGTCCGGGCGCCGCGGCGCGGGGCTGCCTGGGCTGGGCGCCGGCGCCGGCGCGGTGTGGCCGCGGTCGTCCCTGGTTACTGGGCTCCGCGGCACATGCTCGCTGCTGCCTCCCGCCCGCCGCCGCCCCTGCGCTCCCCGCCTCCCGCCTCCCGCCTCCCTCCTCCCGCCCGCACCCGCGCGCCAGGGGTGGACCCGGAGCCGCCACTCAGCGCCCGGCGCCACCTCCCGCCCCGCACCCGCCCGGCCGCAACCGCGGCCTCCGCCCGTGGGACCCCTGCCCGCCAAAGGGGCGTCCCCTCGGCTCATCACGGCCCTAGTGTGGGGGGCTGCCACCCCCGCTGCCCCCTCCCCGAATCCAGCCCGGGCGCTCTGGCCCCCGCCATGGCGGAGAGCGCCCGGAAGATCGGACGCGAATGAGGCATTCATTCATTCGACACGGATTCTTGGGGGGCCGGGGACACGGCAGCCTACGGGACAAGAGCGCCCGGGCACTCGCTGTGCGGAGTGCCGCAGATTGCGGTGGGGACGCCTACTCTCGGCCTGGGGGAAGGTGACCTCCAAGCCCAGGGTCAGGAAGCAGGGGGTGGATGGAGCAGTGTTGTGGCCTCGGCAACCTGGAGAGGCCTGCACGCCGGGGGAAGAGCTCCCCAGCTTGCCCACGGCTACGGGCACAGAGGACCTGGGAGAAGGTCAGGGCTCATGGGGCAGGCCTGGAGAGGCCCCTCGCCAATGAGCTGGGCCCCTGCCCACCAGCGCGCCTGAAGAGACTTCAGCAGGGAGTGATAGGTCAGAGCTGTTCAGAGCTGTTTCTCTGAGCTAAGGCTGGGGTGACAGGCTCCATCCACCTGGATGGACAGAGGCCTGTGGACTGGCGGGGGGGATGAGTCCAGGGGGTAAGTCCAGCTCGGCCTTCCCGGGCCACCTCATCCAAAACGCCAGCGCGTCTTCAGACCTCTCCATCCTTCTTTCCAGCTTTAGTTTCTCTCCTTTGCATCCTCCACAAACGTCACCTGTTTTCTGGGTCCTGTTTGTCTCTTCCTTGGGAGAACACCCTCCCAGAGGGCAGAGGCATCTCCAGCACCTAGAAGGCCCCTGAGGTGTCCTAATTACCCAGCAAATCTCTGTGAATGAGTGAAGGACTGAGGAGGGAATGACACCTCCTGCTGGAGCCCCAGTGGGGGAGCGAGTAGGGAGGGTGAGGCAGCCCTCCGCTGGGGCAGCAGGGATGAGGCAGGATCCAGGTCTCTTTTCCTCCCTTCTTCCCACAGTGTTCTAACCTCAGAGGGTCTAGAAAGCTCAGAGGAAGGCTGAGGCAGGCCGAGTGCCCGCCAGCCCCCAGTATCTCTCCTGCCTCTAAGCATTTCCATCCACTCCTACTTTCCCCTGAAGCCCCTGCCTAGGCTGAGCCCCTGCCTAGGCTGAGCCCCGGGCCTCAGGAAGTCTTCAGATGGGGATGGACTTGCTGGCTTGGGAAGCTGACTCTGCAGAGGAGGTGGGCACAGTTGGAGGGATCTGGTATAGATTTGAGAGCAGATCGTCCCAACCTTGAGGACCAGCTCAGAATGAACAGCAGTGAGGGGCCCACAGTGGGGGGTTCAGAGTTGACCAGACTGTTCTGAGCATCCTGCCTGGGAGGAGGTGGAGCCTGCATGGGGACCAGGGCCTGGCGGGATGACAGTGGCAGTAGTTAAAGCCCTATAGAAACCCAGGTGCTCAGGCTGGGTGCAGTGGCTCATGCTCGTAATCCCAGCACTTGGAGAGGCTGAGGTAGGATTACTTGAGCTCGGAGTTCAAGGCTAGCCTGGGTAACACAGGGAGACCTCATCTCTACAAAAAAATGTTACAAGTTAGCTGGGCTTGATGACACATGCCTAAGCCCCAGCTACTCAGGTGGCTGAGGTGGGCAGATCGTTTGAACCCAGCAGGTCGAGGCTGCAGTGAGCTGTCATTGTGCCACTGCATTCCAGCCTGGGTGACAGAAAGAGACCCTGACACTCTCTCTCTCTCTCTCTCTCTCTCTCACACACACACACAAACACACACACACACACAGAAGGGAAAAGAAAAGAGAAGAGAAAAAAGAAAGAGGAAGGAAGGAGGGAGGGAGGAAAGGAAGGAAGGAGGGAGGGAGGAAAGGAAGGAAGGAGAGAGGGAGGGAGGGAGGGAAGGAAGGTAGGAGGAGGGAGGGAGGGAAGGAAGAAGGTAGGAAGGAGGGAGGGAGGGAGGGAAGGAAGGAGGGAGGGAGGGAAGGAGAGAGGGAGGGAGGGAGGAAGGGAAGGAAGGAAGGAAGGGTCAGGCATGGTGGCACATGCCTGTAGTCTCAGCTACTCAAGAGCCCCTCAGCTACCCGAGAGGCTTTCAGCTATTTGAGACAGGAGGATTGCTTAAGCCCAGGAGGTGGAGGCCAAAGTCAGCCCTGTATGCACTACTGTACTCCAGCCTGGGTGATGAGACCCTGTCTCAACACATACACACACACACACAAAAGAAATTCAGGTGCTCATCCTGCCAGTATTTCTTGCTCACTGCCCCTGTGCCAGGCACCGTGCTGGGCACTGAGACCGATATGGGAGCTCATGGATCTGACGCGATTGCTGCACAGCGAACACAAAATCACATTGATAGCAAACACCATGCGAGGAATGGGGAGGTGGGAGAACATAGATGGGAGCACGTGCCAGGGAACTCGGACTTCACAGACCCATCCCATCCTCCAAGGCATGTTTACTAAGCACTGACTATGTGCAGGGCTCTGGGGACATAGACAGGTCCCTGCCATCACGGACCGTACAATTTAGTGAGGGGAGAGTGCCATAAACAATAACCAACACGCGAAAGTGCAGCAGCGTAGAAACCATCAACACACCTCTCGAGGAGAATGCATCGCACAGGTGAAAGAAGAAACACGAGGCAGGGAGGAAAATGGGAAGGGCAGGAGGTGTGTGATTTTTGTTGGAGAAGGAGCTTCACTGAGAGCGGAGGGGAAGCATTGCTGGGCCCTGTGGCAGAGCCCAGGTGGAGCCCAGCTGGCCCATGTGCAGCCTCCTGTGTGGCCTAGCAGGGGTGCAGTAAGGCAGGCCTTAGAGGGCAAGGCACAGAGTGGGCAGGCGAGGTCAGACTCCCAACTCAAGGGATCTGATGTGCTTAGCCGGCCCCCTCGGCAGCAGCTGCAGGGAGAACTGACTTCAAACACAGACAGGTAGGAATGGGGATCCATTGGAGGTCACTGTATCATCAGCCAAGAGATGGTGGTGGCCAGGTGTTGTGTGGCCGTGGAGGATACGAAGGGAACTGGTTAGACTCAGTGACATTTTGAGGGTAGTGAGAGCAGGATCCCCTCACTGCTGTCCACTCTGAGTTAGTCCTCAAGGTTGGGACATGCTGCTCCCAAGTCTACACCAGATCTCTCCAGCTGGGGCCCATCCCACCTCCTCTGCAGAATGAGGTCCTCCAGGCCAGCAAGTCCATCCCCATCTGGAGACTTCCTGGGGCCCGGGGCTCAGGCTGGGCAGGGGCTTCAGGGGAAGGCAGGAGTGGATGGAGTATGCTTAGAGGCAGGAGAGACATGGGGGCTGGAAGGTGTGAGACAGAGAGTGGGGTCTCGAGGATAAAGCAGGGTTTCTGAGTGGGGCATATGGAAGAGTGGGATTTCTACTTGCTAAGATGGGGAGTGGATAGGTTTGGAGGCAGGAAGAGCTGGAATCTTACTGCAGACAGGTGAAGTGTGAAATGCTAACTAGACGTCCAAGTGGAGATGGGAGAAAGCGGGTGGCACAGGCATCTGGAGTTCAGGGACAGGTCCAGGCTGCAGGTATACGCTGGGAGCCATCCTGGCAGAGATGGCCTTTAAAGCCGAGACAGCATGAGGTCACTGAGCGAGAGTGTTGGCCGAGAAGATCAGGTCCAGGAGACAGCAGAGGTGCGGGCGGTGAGGTGGGAAGACCCCCAGGAGGTAGTCCCAGGGGGAGAACGTGCTTTCCGAAGGAGGGAGAAGCCTGGGAACTGCGTGGGGAAGAGTGGGCAGAGTGTTTTGGACCCCCGTGGTGTGGGGACAGCATGTGAGAAAGTGCTGGGCCTTGGGACCAGCCATCCCTCTTCCTGACCTGGTTTTCAGCTGAAAAGGTCCCTGCCCACATCAGCTGAAAACACTTGAGCCTGAGCCACTGGACGAAGGGCTCGGATCTGCTCCCTGATGCCCCAGTCACAATCCGAGGAGCAGAGGATCCAGGTCTTTCTGCTACAGGACATTGATGTTTAAGTGAAAAAAACATGCAGCCCAGGCCAGGCTCGGTGGCTCACACCTGTAATCCCAGCACTTTGGGAGGCCAAGACAGGCTGATCACCTGAGGTCGGGATTTCGTGACTAGCCTGGCCAACATGGTCTCTACTAAAAATCCAAAAATTAGCTGGACGTGGTGGTGCATGCCTGTAATCCCAGCTACTCAGGAGGCTGACGTAGGAGAATCCCTTGAACCTGGAAGGTGAAGGTCACAGTGAGCCAAGATGGCAGCACTGCACTCCAGCCTGGGCAACAAAGCGAAACTCTTTCTCAAAAACAAACAAGTGCAGCCCATCTTCCAGTTGGGGTGTCACGGCCAATTCACAGGTTGAAGGATCCTTCTGGCTGCTGTGCAGATTGGAGCAGCCAGGGTGAAGGCAGAGCCACCATCGAGGACCTGGGAAATCGAGTGGCCATTGATTAGATGTGGGTTGGAGGGACAAGAGAGGAAGGCATGACCATGGGTCTCCAGGCTGGGGAGAGCAGCCCCACGGGGGAGAGAGGGTCAGGGTGGCTCCCTGGTGGTGTCCAGGAGCACCTGAGGGATGGATGCCTTGCTCAACATGGGGTCACCAGAGGAGGACCAGGTTTGAAGAGGGGGTGATGATCTCAGAGATAGATCTGAGATGTCTGTGAAACACCCAAGGGGAGATGTTGAGTTCTATATTTAAAAAAAAAAAAAAAAAGCAGCTCAGGTGAGGTGACTCACCCCTGTGATCACAGCACTTCGGAAGGCCAAGGTGGGCAGAGCTCCTGAGGTCAGGAGCTAGACACCAGCCTGGTCAACTTATGAAACCGCAACTCTACTAAAAATACAAAAATTTGCTGGGCGTGGTAGTGCACACTTGTTGTCCCAGCTACTCAGGAGGCTGAGACATGAGAATCGCTTGGACCCAGGAGGCAGAGGTTGCAGTGAGCTGATTGCACCACTGCACTCCAGCCTGAGCAACAGTGCGAGACTCCATCTCAAAAAAAATAAATAAATAAAATTAAATAATTTTTTAAACCCAGGTTATAAACCATTGTATATAGAATAATGAAAATAAATCTCTGCACCTGAAGGACAGACTTCCAGGGAGTCCTATCCGTTTTCAGTGTAGGTAGATGACAAGTCACTTTAGTTATTTTCTCTCATCTGCATTTTTTCCTTGTGATATAATTC